GTGCTTCGTTCAGTTACGTATTGGCAAACCACAAACCACAAACCACAAACCCTGAACCCTACAAACCTGAAGCCCTGAGCTACTGAAGCCACAAGCCACTAGGCCACAAGCCCTAAGCCCTCGGCCCTAAACCCTAAGCCCCAAACCTAAACCCTAAGCCACAAACCACAAACCACAAGCCGAGCCACTGAGCCCTGGGCCACAGGCCACAGGCCACAGAGCCCTAGCCCAAGGCCTGAGCCTGAGCCTGAGCCCAGGCCCCGAGGCCAGGCCCTGGGCCTAGGCCACAGGCCAGGCCACAGGCCACAGGCCTGGGGCCACAGGCCACTGAGCCTGAGCCTGAGCCCAGCCCTGAGCCACTGAGCCCAGAGGCCACACAGAGCCCAGGGCCACTGAGCCGCAGGCCACTGAGCCCTGAGGCCAGCCGAGGCCTAGGCCCTAGGCCACAGGCCGAGGCCTGGCCAGGCCCTGGGCCTAGGCCACCAGGCCCAGGCCACTGGCCACCAGGCCACAGGCCCAGGCCTAGGCCTGGGCCCTGGGCCGGGTCAAGGCCCTGAGGCCTGGGCCCGAGGCCCTGAGGCCTAGGCCCTGGAGCCCTGGGCCACAGGCCACAGGCCACAGGCCACAGGCCTGGCCCAGAGCCCAGAGCCCTAGGCCCCAGACCCCAGGCCCCAGACCCTGGGCAGAGCCCCAGACCCCGGGCCCCAGGCCACAGGCCCACAGTCCCAGAGCGCCCAGGCCCTGGAAGCCCTACTGAGCCCTGAGGCCCTGAGAGCCCCCAGAGCCCAGGCCACAGGCCCCCGAGCCCAGGCCCTAGGCCCCAGACCTGAGCCACAGACCCCAGCAGACCCCAGACCCCAGAGCCCCAGGCCCCAGAGCCCCGCGGACCCCAGACCCAGGCAAGCCACCCTAGAGCCACAGGCCACAAGCCCTGAGCCCCCGGAGCCCTGAGGCACTAGGCCCTAGGCCGCCAGAGGCCACTGAGCCCCAGGGCCCCAGGCCACTGAGCCCACAGGCCCCAGAGACCCCGGGCCCTAGACCACAGAGCCCCAGACCCCAGGCCACCCAGGCCACTGAGCCTACGCCAGAGCCCTGGGCCACAGGCCACAGGCCCAGGGCCACTGAAGCCACCAGGCCACTGAAGCCCCGAGCCCTAGGCCCACAGGCCACTGAGGCCACAGGCCCCAGGCCCACAGAGCCCTAGGCCACAGAGCCACCCAAGCCCCCGAGGCCACCAGGCCACAGGCCCTGAGGCCCCAGGCCACAGAGCCCCTGAGAGCCCCGAAGCCCCAGACGACCCCAGGCCCCCGAGCCCCAGAGCCCAGAGCCCAGGCCCCAGCAGAGCCCCAGAGCCCTGAAGCCCCCAGACCCCAGAGCCCAAGCCCCAGAGCCCAGAGCCACAGACCCCAGAGCCCAGACCCCGAGAGCCACTGAAGCCACTGAGCCCCAGAGCCCAGAGCCCCAGAGCCCCAGAGCCCTGAGCCCAGACCCCAGAGCCACGAGCCTGAAGCCCCAGAGCCTAGGCCCACAGAGCCCCAGACCCCAGACCCCAGACCTTAGACCCCAGGAGACCTGAGCCCCAGGCCAAAGCCCCGAGCCACCAAGCCCCAGAGCCCCAGAGCCCTGAAGCCACAGAGCCCCAGACCCTAAGCCCCAGAGCCACAGACCCCAGAGCCTCAAGCCCCAGAGCCCCAGACCCCAGACCACAAGGCCAGAGCCCTGAGGCCCCCGAGACCCCAGACCCCAGACCCCGAGCCCCGAGCCCCAGACCCCAGACCCCGAGACCACAAACCTGAAGCCCCAGAACCTCAAGCCCCAGACCACAAACCCTAAGCCCACTGAGCCCCAGGCCCCAGACCACAAGCCCTAAACCCCAAACCTAGACCACAAACCCCAAACCCTAAACCCCCGAGCCACCACAACCCTAAACCACTGAAGCCACCAAACCTCGACCCTGAAGCCACTAAGCCACAAGCCACTCGAACCACTAAGCCTCGACCCTCGACCCCAAGCCACAAACCACTAAACCCACAAACCACAAACCACTAAACCACAAACCCTAAACCCTCAGACCCTACGACCCCAAACCCTCAGACCACCAAACCTGAACCCCAAACCCTGAAGCCTCAGACCCCAGACCACTAAACCCTCGACCCCGAGCCTAGGCCCTCAAGCCACAAGCCCTCGACCCCGACCCTAGGCCCTCGGCCCTCGACCCTCGAGCCCTCGACCCTCGACCCCGGCCACCAAGCCCACGAACCCCGACCCTAGACCCTAGACCCAAACCCTAAACCACGAAGCCACAAACCACAAACCCTAAACCCTCGAGCCCTAGGCCACTAAGCCACTGAGCCACAAACCACTAAGCCCTAGGCCCCAAGCCACTAAGCCTGAGCCACAGAGCCCTGAGCCCTGAAGCCCTAAGCCTAAGCCACTGAGCCCCGAGCCACAAGCCACCGAGCCTGAGCCACTAAGCCCCAGAGCCCAAGCCACAAGCCCCAGACCCCAGACCCCAGAGCCCTAGGCACGAGCCCCAGGCCCCAGAGCCACAAGCCACTGAAGCCCCAGACCCAGGCCACAAGCCTAAGCCACTGAGCCCAGGCCACAAGCCACAGAGCCCAGACCTGAGCCCACGACCCCGAAGCCCAGACCACAAGCCCAGACCTAAACCCACAAGCCCCAGACCCCAGACCCCAGAGCCCCAGACCACAAGCCACTGAACCCCCAGAGCCCCAAGCCCTGAAGCCACTAAGCCACAAGCCTGGCCACTGAGCCCCAGGCCCCAGAGCCACAGGCCCAGAGCCACTGAGGCCACCAGGCCCCAGAGCCCTGAAGCCACAAGCCCCTGAGCCCCAGGCCCCAGACCTGAGCCACTGACCCCTGAGCCACAGGCCCAGACCCCGAGCCACTAAGCCCTGAAGCCACGAGCCCTAGGCCACTAAGCCACAGAGCCCTGAGCCACAGGCCACCTGAGCCACAGAGCCCCAGAGCCCCAGACCCCAGAGCCACCAGAGCCCTAGACCCCTGAGCCACGAACCCTAAACCTCAGGCCACAGACCCCAGGCCCAGAGCCCTGAGCCCACAGAGCCACAGAGCCCTAAGCCCTAGGCCCACGAGCCCCAGACCCCAGAACCCAGAGCCCCAGACCCACAAGCCCCAGACCCTAGACCCCGAGCCCAAGGCCAGACCCTAGACCCCAGGCCTGACCCAGACCCACAAGCCCCAAGCCCAGAGCCACAAGCCTACAGCCCACTGAGCCCTAAGCCACAAACCCCAGACCCTAGACCACTGAAGCCCCAGAGCCACAGGCCCCAGAAGCCACAAACCTAAGCCACAGACCCCAAGCCCCAGACCCCAGACCCACAAACCACTGAAGCCACAAACCCGAGCCCTAAAGCCCCGAGCCCTAAACCCCAGAGCCACAGACCCCAGACCCTGAACCCCCGAGCCACAGAGCCACCAAGCCCTGAACCCAGACCCCAGACCACAAGCCCCAGGCCCCAGAGCCCTGAGCCCCAGGCCACTGAAGCCCCAGGCCCCAGGCCCAGACCCCAGGCCCCAGAGCCCAGAGCCCCAGAGCCCCAGACCCCAGGCCCCAGGCCCCAGACCCCAAGCCCCAGACCCCAGAGCCCCAGGCCACCGAGGACCCCAGACCCTGACCAGAGCCCCAGACCCCAGACCCCAGACCCTGAGGCCACAAGCCCCAACCTAAACCTGAGCCTAAACCCTCAGACCCCAGACCCACAACCTGACCCTAAGCCCCAAACCCTAAGCCACAGACCCTCGACCCCAAACCCAAACCTAAGCCCTCAAACCCTAGAAGCCACTGAACCACAAGCCACAAGCCCTCGACCTGACCCTCGGCCACTAGCCACAAGCCTAAACCACTAAGCCCAAACCCTCGAGCCCCCGACCCACAAACCTCGGCCCAAACCCAAGCCCTAAACCCTAAGCCCTAGACCACCAAGCCACAAGCCCTAGGCCCTGAGCCACAAACCCTCAGACCCACAAACCCTAAGCCCCAGACCCTAGGCCCCTCGACCCCAGACCCACGACCCTCAGACCCTAAACCCTCGACCCTAAGCCACAAGCCCACAAGCCCCGAGCCTAGACCCTAAGCCCTAAGCCACAAACCTACAGACCACTAAGCCACAGAAACCCTAAGCCACTCAAGCCACACAAGCCTAAACCACAAGCCACAAGCCCAGGCCCACAAACCTAAAGCCACTGAAGCCACAAACCCACAGAGCCCACAAACCCCAAGCCCTAAGCCCAAGCCCTAAACCCTGAAACCACAAACCACAACCCTAAACCCTAGGCCTAAGCCACAAGCCACTGACCACCAGGCCCTAGGCCACTAGGCCACAGGCCCTAGGCCACTAGAGCCCTGGCCAGGCCTGGGCCCTAGGCCCTGAGCCACCAGACCCGAGCCACTGAGCCTAGGCCCAGGCCACAGGCCACTGACCACTGAGCCAGGCCTAGACCTGAGGCCACTGAGGCCCAGGCCACAGGCCACTGAGCCCTGAGGCCCAGGCCACAGGCCCTGGGCCACTGAGGCCACAGGCCTGAGCCCAGAGCCACGAGGCCACAGGCCACAGGCCCTGGAGCCCTGGGCCACCAGGCCACTGGGCCACAGGCCACTGAGCCCCAGAGCCCGAGGCCACTGGGCCACAGGGCCCTAGGCCCTGAGGCCACTGAGCCACTGAGCCCTAGGCCCTGGGCCACAGGCCCTGGGCCACAGGCCCGAGGCCTAGGCCAGGCCGAGGCCACAGGCCACAGGCCTGGGCCACTGAGGCCACAGGCCACTGAGGCCCAGGCCCGAGGCCACTAGGCCCAGGCCCTGAGCCCTGAGGCCACCAGGCCCAGGGCCACTGGCCCTGAGGCCTGGGCCTAGGCCACTGAGCCCATGAGCCACAGGCCACGGGCCCTGAGCCCGAGGCCACAGGCCACTGAGCCGCAGGCCACGAGGCCACAGGCCACAGGCCCTAGGCCACTGAGCCCAGGGCCTCAGGCCACTGAGCCACTGAGCCCGAGGCCACAGGCCCTGAGCCACAGGCCCTGAGGCCCGAGGCCACAGGCCACTGAGCCTAGGCCCAGGCCACTAGGCCACAGAGGCCACAGGCCTAGGCCACAGGCCACACAGGCCACAGGCCACAGAGCCCAGGGCCACTGGACCCTAGGCCACAGGCCACCAGGCCACAGGACTGAGCCACAGGCCATAGGCCACAGACCCTAGGCCACTGAGCCACACAGGCCACAGAGCCACGAGCCACACAGGCCACCAGGCCACAGGCCACTAGAGCCACAGGCCACCGAGCCACTGAAGCCACTAGAGCCACAGGCCACAAGCCCTAGGCCACTGAGGCCACAGGCCCTAGGAGCCCAGGACCACTAGACCACTGAGGCCCGAGGCCACAGGCCACGGGCCACAGACCACTAGGCCCAGAGCCACAGGCCACGGACCACTAAGCCACAAGCCCTGAGCCACAAGACCACAGACCACCAGACCCAGACCTAGAAGCCACAAGCCCTAGGCCACAGACCCTAGACCCCAAGCCACTAAACCCCAGGCCCACAAGCCACTAGGCCACAGGCCACAGACCCCAGAGCCACTGACACTGAGCCACAGGCCACAAGCCCTGAAGCCCACAGGCCACAGGCCACAGGCCTGAGCCCTAGGCCACAGAGCCCCAGACCCCTGAGCCCCAGAGCCACAGACCACTGAGCCCAGGCCTGAAGACCTAGGCCCCAGAGCCACACAGGCCACCGGAGCCCCAGACCACTAAGCCCTGAAGCCACAGGCCACTGAGCCCAGGACCACTGAAGCCACTAGACCCCAGAGCCACCAGAGCCACTGAGCCCAGACCACTGAAGCCCCAGAGCCACTAAGCCCCAGACCCCAGACCCAAGCCCTGAAGCCACAGACCCCGGACCCTAGAGCCACAAGCCCCAGACCCAGAGCCTGAGCCCCAGAGCCCCAGAGCCCAGAGCCTAAGCCCACAGACCACTGAAGCCACAGAGCCCCAGACCCTGAGCCCAGAACCCTGAGCCCACAGACCCCCGAGCCACTGAGCCACAAGCCCCCAGACCCTCAGGCCCCAGGCCTAGGCCCCAGACCCTGAGGCCACAGAGCCCCAGGCCACACAAGCCCCGAGACCCCAAGCCACAGGCCACTGACCACAAGCCCTCGAGCCCTCGACCCTCGAGCCCTAAGCCATAAACCCTCGACCCTCGAGCCCTCAACCCTAAACCCTAAACCCTCAACCCTAAACCCTAAACCCTAAACCCTAAACCCTAAACCCTCAACCCTAAACCCTAAACCCTAAACCCTAAACCCTCAACCCCAAACCCTAAACCCTAAACCCTAAACCCTAAACCCCAAACCCTAAACCCTAAACCCCAAACCCTCAACCCTAAACCCTAAACCCTAAACCCTCAACCCTAAACCCTAAACCCTAAACCCTAAACCCTCAACCCTAAACCCTCAACCACTAAACCACTAAACCCTCAACCACTAAACCCTAAACCCTAAACCCTAAACCCTCAACCCTCAACCCTAAACCCTAAACCCTAAACCCTAAACCCTCAACCCTAAACCCTAAACCCTCAACCCTCAACCACTAAACCCTAAACCCTCAACCCTCAACCCTAAACCCTAAACCCTAAACCCTAAACCCTCAACCCTCAACCCTAAACCCTAAACCCTAAACCCTAAACCCTCAACCCTAAACCCTAAACCCTAAACCCTAAACCCTCAACCCTCAACCCTCAACCCTAAACCCTAAACCCTCAACCCTCAACCCTAAACCCTAAACCCTAAACCCTAAACCCTCAACCCTCAACCCTCAACCCTCAACCCTCAACCCTAAACCCTCAACCCTCAACCCTCAACCCTCAACCCTAAACCCTCAACCCTCAACCCTCAACCCTAAACCCTAAACCCTAAACCCTCAACCCTCAACCCTCAACCCTCAACCCTAAACCCTCAACCCTAAACCCTCAACCCTCAACCCTCAACCCTAAACCCTAAACCCTAAACCCTCAACCCTAAACCCTAAACCCTCAACCCTAAACCCTCAACCCTCAACCCTAAACCCTCAACCCTAAACCCTAAACCCTCAACCCTAAACCCTCAACCCTAAACCCTAAACCCTCAACCCTCAACCCTAAACCCTCAACCCTAAACCCTAAACCCTCAACCCTCAACCCTCAACCCTCAACCCTCAACCCTCAACCCTAAACCCTAAACCCTCAACCCTAAACCCTCAACCCTCAACCCTAAACCCTAAACCCTCAACCCTAAACCCTAAACCCTCAACCCTCAACCCTAAACCCTCAACCCTCAACCCTCAACCCTAAACCCTCAACCCTCAACCCTAAACCCTAAACCCTCAACCCTAAACCCTAAACCCTAAACCCTAAACCCTCAACCCTCAACCCTAAACCCTAAACCCTCAACCCTCAACCCTCAACCCTCAACCCTCAACCCTCAACCCTCAACCCTAAACCCTCAACCCGAAACCCTCAACCCTCAACCCTAAACCCTAAACCCTAAACCCTCAACCCTCAACCCTCAACCCTAAACCCTAAACCCTCAACCCTCAACCCTCAACCCTAAACCCTAAACCCTAAACCCTAAACCCTAAACCCTAAACCCTAAACCCCAAACCCCTAAACCCTAAACCCTCAACCCCAAACCCCAAACCCCAAACCCTAAACCCCATACCTCAAACCCCAAACCCCAAACCCCAAACCCTAAACCCCAAACCCCAAACCCCAAACCCCAAACCCAAAACCCCAAACCCCAAACCCAAAACCCTAAACCCTAAACCGTAAACCCAAAACCCTAAACCCTAACCCCTAAACCCCAAACCTAAAACCCAAAACCCCAAACCCCAAACCTCAAACCCCAAACCCTAAACCCAAAACCCAAAACACTAAACCCAAAACCCTAAACTTTAAACCCTAAATCCTAAATCGTAAACCCAAAACCCTAAACCCTAACCCCTAAACCCCAAACCCCAAGCCCCAAACCCCAAACCCAAAACCCCAAACCCTAAACCCCAAACCCCAAACCCAAAACCCCAAACCCCAAACCCAAACCCTAAACCCCAAACCCTAAACCCAAAACACTAAACCCCAAACCCTAAACCCCAAACCCTAAACCCCAAATCCTAAACCCCAAACCCTAAACCCCAAACCCTAACCCCCAAACCCTAACCCCAAACCCTAAACCCTAAATCCTAACTCCTAACCCCTAAACCCTAACCCCTAAACCCTAAACCCAAAACCCTAAGCCCTAAAACCCTAAACCCTAACCCCTAAACCCTATACCCTAAACCCTAACCCCTAAACCCTATACCTTAAACTCTAAACCCTATTCCCCGACCCCTAAACCCTATACCCTATATCCTATACCCTATACCCTAACCCTTAAACCCCAAACCCTTAAACGCCAAATCCCAAATCGTAAACCCTAAACCCCGAACCCCAAAACCTCAAACCCAAAACCCCAAAACCCTAAACCCATAAACCCCGAACCCCAAATCCTAACCCTAAACCCTAAACCCCAAACCCAAATCCTAAACCCCTAACCCTAAACTCCAAACTCCAAACCCCAAATCCTAAACCCCAAACTCCAAACTCTAAAACCCCAAAAACCCTAAACCCTCAACCCTCAACCCTAAACCATAACCCCTAACCCCTAACCCTAAACCCTATACCCTAAACCTTAAACCCTAAAACCCTAAACCTAAACCCTAAAACCATAAACCTCGAACCCTAAACCCTAATCCATAAACCCTAAACCCTAAAATCCTAAACCCTAAATCCCGAACCCCGAACCCCGAACCCCGAGCCACGAACCCCGAACCCTAAACCCCGAACCTCAAACCCCGAGCCCTAAACCCAAACCTCAAACCCCAAGCCCCAAACCCTAAACCCTAAGGCCCAAACCCCAAACGCCAACCCCAAACCCTAAACCTCGAACCCCAAACTCCGAACCCCAAACCCTTAACCCCGTACACCAAACCCCAAACCCTAAAATCCTAAAACCCTAAACCTTAAACATCGTGTTACCATTCATCGAAACCCGCCGGACCTCCTCAACTAAACCCATAAAGTCATCCATGTCGACCCAAAGGTTCAAAAACTTAAAGGAAGCTTTTACCTTAGATGGAGGGAGCCGAAATCAACCACCATAGCACTATGATCGGATGAATCTCGCGGTAGAAATTCTAAGTGAATGGTCGGCCATGTTGAGCACCACTCGAGTTACTAAAAATCCGGTCGAGCTTTTCGGAATAGAGCCTCCGTCATCCCGACTATTATGCCAAGAGAATCTCAAACCTAAATAAGGAACTTTGATTAACTCGATGCTCGCACACAATTGCTAAAATCATCCATATAGCCATACCAAGAAGGGTCACCCCCATACTTATCCAAAGAACTCAAAATAGCATTGAAGTCTCCCAAGACAAGCCAAGGCCCGGATTGAAAAGCGGAAGAACGAAACCTCAAATAATCCCACAAGTCTCGAATGTTTGGTATGTTGTTCTCTTGACCTTGCTCTTCCTTTCTCATCGGAGCGATTTTCATTTCAATTGTCGAGCAAGGATTTACAAGCTTTGGAACATACGGGTTGAAAAACTTTAACGAGTTGGCGATGAGATTGTTTTCGCCGTCGGAGCTATATCTCCGCCGTCGACCGTCCGATTGTCTTGAAATTTGGGTATGTTTTTCTTGTGTCTCTCTTCGGCATTCTGACCGAAGGATTTCTGATCAGATTTGGAAAACAAGAAATCTATTCGTTTGATTATTCTGTGATTTTTTTACATTTTTTCTTGGCGAACAACTTTGATTGTTTTGGTGGTTTTGCCTTTTTCAACCGTTGGATTGGGCTCAAATTTCTACCACGGTTGTGTCTAATAGGGATTCGGTGTCCGAACGGTGGAGATTGAGTTTGGAACGTTGAGCGAGGCATTCTCTCTTTCAAACAGAGACTTCTCGGAATTGTGTCGCCTGTTGCCGTGAGGGCAATCTCTCCGCCGTCCACCGTTGGATGAGGCTGACACTTGTGCAGAAAGATTCGTAGTTCATGGGGCTACGTGCTCACCGTACAGATTTGGATTTCTTTGGGTTTTGTTGTGAGAAAAACCCCTGTAATATGACTTCGAACGAGTAACAGAACGGCGTCCACCTCCACTACAAAAAACGCCACAACCACCCAAAATACCATCAAAACGACCACAACCAGTCAACCTAAAACCACCCAAACCACCCACTAGCCTCCTTACATCGACCAAACCACCCATAAATTGAAACCTATCCCACCACAAACAACAACCAATCATTTGAATGCCATCACCAATGGCAAAGCCACCACCACATCCACCTCCCCTAGTGGGTCATGGTCGATCGGGTTAAGGTGTCTAAGTGCCAAAACTCGAGCTTCAATTGCATCATTTCCAAGGCAACAAATGGGTACCATTTTGGAAATTCCGACCATGTCATTGATGAGAGTTCTTTAGGATGGAGCCGATGCTTAGTTGGTTTTTTTCCGAGTGCTCGGATGTCGTTCCATGGGGTGAACTCTATCGCCCGACGGGTTTGGAAAAATTCGGTCTTAAAAGTGTTTCCTCCACACAAAAGGCTTCATGATTTTTCGGTTCAAGAGCGAGGAGGATGTTCATTCGGTTATGGAGCAAGGACCGTGGATGTTTGGGGGTAAGAGCTTTGTTCTCCAACGGTGGCATCCCCACTTTGTTTTTGACAAATCTAAAATTTCCAAAGCTCCAGTGTGGATCCGACTTCACGGTTTGCCTTTTCCA